TGAGCCCTGCTGTAGACTCCAGGACCTCCAGGGATGACTCTTTTCTGCACAACCCATGAAAAATGCACTGTTATCAAGTAAGGCTGCTGGTCACTCCTTTGGACTTCAACTGGACAGAAAAGTCTGCATCAAGTTAACAGCTAACAAGTAACTGACCATAAAAATAAGGAAGAATGCTCAGATGTCTGAACCTATGATGCTAGACATGTATTATTTTCAGTCTTCACTGTCGTTATTCCTCGAGGATCCCAGTGCAAACCCAATGCCCCTCAGCAGCCTGGCAGTCGTGCTGGGCTTCCACTCTGCAGGAGTTTCCTCCCCTGGAGTTGAGCACAGAGCACAGTCCCAACGCATCCCAACCTTCACTTCTCTGCCCCACAGCTTGCACTGTGCCAACTGGATGAGCCCTACAAGGCAACAGCAAGAGTTTCTTTTTTTTGGTAGCCTCTTTGCAATATGAGAGGACGGAGGTTTGGAAATAAAACGATCGCCATTCTTTCCTTCCCCAAGGCAGAGCAGAGGGTGAAATGCTTACAGGTCCTGCGGTGCATCTTCCACTTTGTGATGAGTCCTTCTGCAGAGCTGCAGGACGAGGTGTGGGGTGGGAACAGAGGGTGGCAGCCAGCAGCCCCCAACCTGGGCAGGGGGTGGCAGCCCCTATAGTACAGCTCCCATGTTCTGCTGCTACCAGCCCTGCTTGCATCAGTGCTCTACAGGGAAAGACCCCCAGGTGCCCTATGCCCACCCCTGGCAGGGAGGTCTGGGCTGCAACTCTGGCCCTCATTAGGCAAATGCACAGCTGTAGCACATGGGATCCACTCCACTGCAAACTGAGCTTTGCCCTGCAAACATTTTGTGGAAAAGCCATCTCCTGTGAGGTTCAGAGAAAAGCAGGGAGTGGGGAAATTCAGGAAGCATGGGTGAAATTCTCAGAATTTCCTTTTTTTCCCACAAACCTGAGCATAGAATCTCGTATTGGTTTGGTCTGAAAAATTGGCTGTGTCATCAGTAAGGAGAACTGCACTGATTTCTTGTCCTGAGATAGAGATTTTGGATTCCAGGAAGCTGCAGGCAGCCCATCCCAGGATGTATTTATTGCAGCCTGAGAATCAGAGAGCCTGTGAGCATTACCTCACTGGGCACAGCATCAACAATTTTCACATTTTGCCCTGCGTGTGCTCCAGCCAGACTTCCTTTTTGTAAGAGAGCCATTTATAAGAAATGGAAAGAGCTTGCAGCGAGCACTGTACTCCCAAGGTTGCAGGCACAGGAGAAGCTGCTTTTTTTGGTGTTTGCTTTTGTAGCCAGGGCTGAGCCTGCACCCTGCACCCGCTTGGTGTTAACCCCTCCCTGCCCAGTGCCACTCAGAGCCACACGCAGTCGGTTGGGTGCTCACTGCTGGGACTCTGGGCTTCCCAGGGGATGGGGTGGGCTCTGCAGCTATTCCATGTGCCCAGGTGATCCAGTGCAAAGCAGATTCCTTGTTTCGGAGTTTAATGGGGAAAGGGTGGAAGGGGAGCAGGGAAGAGAATGAGAAAGGACGTGGATGAGAGCAGTTTGCAGAGGGAGAGGGGAGGCAGGCAGTGAAGGGAAGGAGTGGGGAAGGGGAGGGGAGGTTTACAGGACAGCATGCAAGGGCACCAGGCATCATGGGGAGAGACTGGAACCTGGCACTGGTGGTGAGGAGGAACTACCATGTGTGGTGCTTGGCCTGGAGAGGCTGCTGAGTACTGGAGAGGGCGGGGGGTGACAGTGCATCTCTGGAAGGAAGCAGGTGGCACGGCGGGGAAGCAGATAAGGGCTGACTCTCACCATGCTCCTGCTTTTCCCCACCTTGAAGCCACACTGCATCCCGTCTGCTCTGTCCTGCAGTCGTGCTCTCCCAGCAGAGCTGTGATATCAAAGCATCCGTAGGGCTGGAACCCTTTCCTCACCCCCGATTCAATGCATGCAGCCCAGTGACAGCCAGCATGCTTTGTTTTACACAGCACCAGAATGAAATCATCTTGGTCTACCTTATATAGCAGCTTAACTGACCCGAGGGGCAAAGATGGGGAACAAAGTGCTACATCAACACCATTTGGCCAAATCCATGATCCTCTGCTTCTGTGTTCTCCCAGACGATCCCATGTAGATGGTGCTTTTTGGTGTCACATGGAGTATGGAGCTTCCCAGGAGCATCTGGTTACAGACAGAGCTGTGTCCATCTCAGGATAACACACAGCATTCCTGGAACACCGCCTGGGGATTTGGTTAGGTTTTAAATGAAAATGACATGGAAAAACTTCCTGCGGATCAAGGAAACTAACTGGGACTTGGGGTCGCCCTGCATTGGGTAGATGTGATGAAACACTTCTGGTGATCTTTTTCCTTATGTCTCAGTTTACTGTTAATACCGTCAGCGAATCGCGGGGCGATATGAGGAAGAGGGCAGTGGGGGTCGCAGGGCAGGGGTTGGGAGCAGCCTGCATCCAGATGGAGGCCAGGGGACCCCACACCACAGAGCTGGGAGCAGTGGCAGCTCCCTACAGGTGACAGCTGGGTGGAGCAAAACGCTTCCCTGGTGTTTGTTTGCTTCTTGAAGTGCATTATTCACTATCTGTGTTTTGTACGAGCACACCCTACCTCCACAAGCATGCCTTCCTGCAGCAGGCATGCAGGCACTGTGAGCAGCTGGTGTCCCTTGGCGTGGTGGCACAGAGTGGCTCTGTAAGCTCTGTGTGAGCCTGACACAGCTCCACTGCCAGAGGTGAGCTGTCAGTTCCTTGTTTCTGCTGAGAGATAAGAAAGCAGCAAACCAGCAGGCTGCATCCCAGCCTGGGGAGGGCACTCCCCCAGCACCAACTGGCTGTGCAGATAGGGCATAACCAGGATAGAAGGGTCAGTGGGCTTTCACCGGGAGCGATCTGTGTGGGTTTATACCTGCAGAAAGTGGTGGAGATGCAGAGTTAGCACCGCGTTTCTATGCTGGGTGTATTTATTTGATGCCTCGTCGATGCCAGTTGCTGCCAGCGATAAGCACTAAAAATAGCTGGAGTGGCACTGTGGTGCAGAAGTCACGGATCAATTTAGTTGCCACTCAAAATGAGGTCACTGAGGTATCTCTGACACATCTTCCATATATAATCGTTAGCACAGTGGCCCAAGAAGCTCAGGGTTATTCTGGTGTGAAGCCAGCTGAGGGCTGAGCAACAGACCAGGGGAGGCTTGAGCTGGAAAGAACCACGGCGTGACCTGCCTTGCCAATATTTACGTTGTGTAAGAGATGCTGTGACTTCTTTATTGTGAAGGCATTGGTGTTGGAACCTCACGTACCTTCTGCCATCTCTTTTTCAAGTTCCTTTCGCTACCTTCAAGCACTCCTGAGTGTAGGGTACTTTGTGCCCGCGGGTCAGCATGAGGCAGCTCAGAGCCCGTGAGCTGGAAATGGCCTTGTGCTGCCCTGCCTCGGCCGCGTGCCTCTCTGCCTCCTCCTGTGTTTGATTTACCTGATGCCTTCTATCTTTATTGACACTGAAACTCACCAGGAGCCCTGCCTCACCCTGCACAAAGGCAAAACCTGAAGGTACTACTGAGACAGCAAAAAAATGAGTGGGCAAAAAACATGGGGTACTTTCAGGGGTGAGAGTTCTGCACAAAATCCAAGTTTGGGCTTGATTTTTCTTTAATTTTCTTGTTGAAAACAAACAAACGGAACAGCAGTGAAGGTGGAGCGCAACAGTGTGACACTGTTTGTCCAGGCTGCCTCTTCCCACTGCACATGACTGCATCCTGGCCC